GATGTTTGTCCACATTGTCAAAAGAAGAGTAAAGGGCCCAACAAAGTGGCTAAATTGGAATCACGACTTTCTCAACTCTAGGAGGAACCGAAGAAAACAAGTGATCAACTAAGTGCATCTGAATCACACAAAAAACAAGCCCAACAGAAAGTAGAAGAAGCAAAGAAACAACTATCAGATATGTCTGAAAAGCTTGAAGAATCCCAACAGTAGGTGATTGAGCTCTCTGCTTCTGAGGAAGATCGTGTTCAAGAACTGCACAAACTTTCTCAAGATTCCAATCGAGCATGGAAGTCCAAACTCGAAGCTGTTCAAAAGTAGCACGCAATGGATGCTGCTGCATTGGCCTCTGCCATTCATGAAGTTCAGAGGCTCAAGGTCCAGCTGAACATGGTGTCTAAATCCAACCAAACCCGAAGTAACCTCGCTAAGTCTATGGAAAAGCTTCAATCAGATGGAATCAAAACTTTTGAAGCCTACAACTCTTTGTCACCAAAATTGGAGGAATCAAAAGATCGGAATTCAGGGAGGGATGATTTTGATTTTTATGGAGGGAAGGGAAGATGCCAGAAAGATTTAAATTCCAGTCGTGTTGGTGGTGGATTTAGGAATTATGGCTCGAATGATTCGTATGAGAGGAGTAACAGGTATTTGAACGGGGATGATTCATCTAACTCGAAGTGGGGTTTGTCAAGGGTCTTTGATGAAAATAGGAGGAAGAAAGATGAAGGTAATTCTGGCAGCGACGGTGGTGGCAGTCGACCGAAGCTTAATCTGGAGCCACGTACGCTGCCGGTGAATGATGTGAAGTCGTCGAAGATATCAAGGACGACCGCGAGGTCTAAGAATTCAAACCCATTTGGAATGGTGAGGCCGAGGGAAGAGGTTCTAGCTGAGAAAGGACATGATTGAAAAAAACTTGACAAGGAGTTAGAGTCGAAAATTATGGAAGTGTCAAGGGAGAAGACTGAAAAATCCAACGCCATTGGGAAAAAGAGCTTTGGCAATGTAATTGGTCAGGCTGCTGAGGACAAAATAGAGAGAAGCTGGAGGAAGCCGAGTTTCAATTACTCTGGACCAGTGGGGCGGGATGCTCAACCTGACAAAAATCCTAATGGTTTTGTGGATGCTAATTGGGCTGGTGACATGAACGACAGATGCTCCACAAGAGGTTTTTGTTTTACACCAGGCTCTGTTGCAATTTCATGGTGCAGTAAAAAGCAAAGCATCGTTGCTTTGTCAAGTTGTGAAGCCGAATATGTAGCTACTACAATGACTACTTAAGGATTTTTGTGGCTCATCACGAGGCTTATTCAAGAAATGGTGACTACTCATTATCATTTTGTTTGAGAGAATGCTAACGCAGGATGTTGAATTGCAAAAAATACAGACTAATAAGCAAGTTGCGGACATATTTACTAAGGCACTTGCCAAAGTAAAGTATGAAGTTTTTCGTAAAGGCTCTCAAAGCTATTGAGAAAATAAGTTTGCACTAAGGGAGGCTGTCATCTTGTTAGTCATCATGTTGAGTATCTTGAAGTTCATATCCATAAAGAAATAAAATTTGGAGAAATTTTGGATCGACTCTTCTTTACACGTTAAATCCTTTCTCGAGGGAAGTGTATCATGTGCTATCATGTGAGTGGGGTGACGTATACTTTCGTAACATAGACACATAAAATATATTGTGTACGGGGGAGTGCGAGTCTACAAGCCACTAGTCCTATTCTTTCTAGTATCTCAAAAGGATGGAAGAACTTGGGCTTAGCTTCCCTTTCTTTTCAAAATCTGAACATCCCTCTCATGGGTGCTATCTTTAGGAACACATGGTCTCCTACATCAAAATTTAGGTTTTTACGCCTTCCATCTGCATAAATATTTTACGAACTAAAATTTTATTTTTATTTGAAACAAAAAGATTTAAAAAAAAATTCAAACTTAAATCAAACGAACCCAAAACTATATGGTTGGGTTGGGTGGATTTCAGTTTTTGTGATGTTTCACATTGGATGAGGAGGAGAACGAAACACCCTTAAGCGTGTAGAAACCTTCCCATAGTAGACGCGTTTTAAAACCTTGAGAGGAAGCTCGTAAGGGAAATCCCAAAGAAGGCAATATCTACTAGTGGTGAGCTTGCGTCGTTACTGGTATTAAAGCCAGACACCGGCGATGAACCAGCGAGAAGGTTGTTCCCCGAAGGGGAATAAACACGAGGTGGTGTGCCAGCGAGGACGCTGGGCTTAAAGGGGGGGTGGATTGTGATGTTCCACATTGGTTGGGGAGGAGAACAAAACACACTTTACAATGGTGTGAAAACCTTTCACTAACAGACACGTTTTAAAGTCTTGAGGGGAAACCCATAAAAGTAATATCTGCTACTGGGTCGTTACCGTTTTTCACCTGAGTTGTTCGAGTTAATATGAATTAACATCCCAAACAATTGAACTAAGAACAAAAATCCTCTCACCCTTTCCATATATATATATTTTTTTAGTAATTTTTAGTACGTTTTCAAGTATTTTATTTTAGTCCTTCTAAATTAGAACCATTATTATTATGGTTAAAATATAGTTTATAATTGTGGTGCTTTAAATACAGACTCAATGGGGAAATAACACCCATTAGTCACGCATACCACATATTATTGTATCTTATCCTCAATTCTAGCACAACGGAAAGCATAAAAATAGATATGTATCATAAAATCTCATCCTAGGGGAAGTTCGTTAATTTTCCTTAACATATATAGCATTTTCATCCAAATAGCCCTTTTAAAGTCCTAAATATGCATAATCTACCATTCAAGGCAAGATATGCTCGCATGCTAGTATGCCCTTGAGCTAGAATTACTTTAGAAGAGTAAAAATGATTATTTATATGGATGACGTAAGCTTTGTCGAGCAAGCTTTTTCTTGTGTTAGGAGCTTCAAATTTTCTAAAATTTCTCTAGTATAACCTAATTCAAATCATAAAATGGTCCACATCAAAATCAGGGAAGAACAATGGAATATTAATGAAATTGGAACCCAGGGGTCTTAGTGGTTTGGTTCGTAGTCAATGTTTATTACTTCTCTTCTCCCGCCGCCCTGAAAATAAGAAGACGTTTCAACTTCTGTATGGTATTTTCCAAAGCAAAACTTAGACTCCATCGTTTAGTTACAAGTCCGGAGGAGGAGGAATGCACGTAATTGCCAATTAAAATTTTAAAAAATAAATAAATAAATAAAAGTGTTATTTGGTGGGGTATGGCTATGGACCATTGCATGAAATGCAGTGCTGAGTCGGACAGAATCATTGCCCACCATCTCTTTCTACCATTGGCTAATAATATTTATTGTGCCAAAGTTGACCATAATTTGGAAAGCTATAAATAAAAAAATAAATATGAAATCACTACTCTCGCTTTCAGTGTCTTGTGGAGTTTAATTGGTGAGGGAATCCATTAATACTATTTATTATTTGTTCCATATTTGAAATAAATTTTAAAAAAAATGATTCACTTTGTCTAAAAGTGATGCGTTCAGATACGTTCTATCAATTTCCATTCAATTTTTAGAATTTAAATTTATGGTTAGTTTGACCATATATCGTGAACAATATATGATTCTCTAACTTTTGGATCTTTTTTTATCTCTACTTTTAGGGAAATCAAATAAATTTCCATACTTTATTGTGTGGAAGGGATACAATTTGGAACACAGAATGTATTTCCACACAATCATATGCATATCCTACTCATAATATCATATTAATATCAAATATGGAATTTGCGTACTTCAAAAAAAAAAAAAAAAAAAAAAAACTTTTTCCCTTGTTTTATTTGTTCATATATAGGAAGTTTGTGGAGAATTTATAATAATAATTTTATAATATAGTAATGGTAATGGCATTTAACTTCTACGTTTGTAATTTAACATTGACCAAAAAATAAACATGTGAGCGTATCATTTAAGACCTTATTAATTTCTATTTTATAAATAATTTTAAGATATTGCTTTAGCTCAAGTTGCCATAGATCATTTGTTTTTCCATTTTGACATTTGAAAAAAATAATAATAATATTAAAGAAGAGCAAAATAGTCATCCACTCATCTTTAAATTTCAACGGATAAAGCTATAAGATTCTGCGACCAAAAGTTGTTAGATTCGGGTTGCAAATTGCATGAGAAAAGCTATTTGTTTGTTTCTTGTTTTTTCTATTCTCGAAGTGCAATGGACATTGGACAGCCATCTTTGAAAAAGTATTCATATCTAAAATACATTTTAAAAAATAAGAATAAAAAAAGGAAAAACAATTTTGGACTCCCACCTTTTTGAAAAATTATAATTACTACGTTTATGCTATTTAAAAACAGTATAAATCTAATTAATTACGTCTGGCTTTGTTAATTTTTAAATTGTATAAAAATATAAATCGAACTAAAGCTATAAATATAAGAATATATATAAATAAAATCTATGAACAAATAAATGAATTAAACATCGAGAGAAAACAGGAAGGCGAGAGAATAATGCATGTCTGGTAATGACAATATTATCTTTTTACGGATGGGACCCTACTGTCAACCATACAATGTTAATAGAGAGATTAATTAACTAATGCATGTTGGACATAGACCGATTAATTAAAAAATTTTAAACTAGAGATATGTAGGACTTACCTCGAAAGGAAAGCCCTCCAAAAATAGGCGTATGCCGCTATGAGCGGCGAGCACACGGTATTCTTTAGTAAAAGGCGAAAGAATAGTTCGCTCTGTGCTCACCGCACGGCTCCGTGATTGACAATGGGCCTTGGATGGTCACTTTATAGGTGTCTATCGTTTTCGCATCTTGGAGAGTTTCCGATGTGGGACAATTCCTACTTTCAACTCCCCTGGGTTCCCCTCCACGGCCTGTATACCAAAGTAAATTAAATCATGGCCATGGATTTACTATATATATATATATATATAAACTCGTGATCGGAAAAGAATCACAGGAGAATAAATCTAAAATTAAAATTAAAATTAAAATTAATTTCATTAATATAAACTCTACACAGAAGATTAGCATGGCCCCTGCAGAAGAATGACACACACCAATTGAGAAATGGTTCAATTTTATTTATAAATCAGAGTGGCGCAGCGGAAGCGTGGTGGGCCCATAACCCACAGGTCCCAGGATCGAAACCTGACTCTGATATCCATCCTTTAATTTCCTTAACTTCAAGGAACGGGAGCTTACATTTATTTACTTAGGCAGCTCTACCACTTTTTTGTAGGTGATTATTATTGATGAATATGATGTTTCACGACATTTCCTTAATATGATTACGGCATTATCTTATTCGTGGATTATGAAAAGATTTTACTCCCTTTATTTCCTCAATACAAGTGTGGGCAAATCAGCCTACAGTAATTGAACTGGTGAATCATCTTTCCAATCAAAAAGCTTTGATTATCAGCCTACAGTAATTGAACTGGTGAATCATCTTTCCAATCAAAAAGCTTTGATTATCAGCCTACAGTAATTGAACTGGTGAATCATCTTTCCAATCAAAAAGCTTTGATTAAGCAAATGACTAATAGCAACGAGTTTTCCCAAAAGTCATAAGATGTGTTGTATGTCAAAGATCAAAGGAGACAAAATACTCCCAAAAGTCATAAGATGTGTTGTATGTCAAAGATCAAAGGAGACAAAATTTTCATTCAAAGCCTTCATCAAGCAATGAGAATCAATTTAGGAGTGAGGAGTCGTCAACGAAGCCATTTAAAGCTTGTTACAAGTGTGGAAAACCTGGCCATTTTAAACGAGATTGTCAGGTGAAAGTAGTGTGTGATCATTGCAGAAAGCCAGGCCATATTAAGCCAAATTACCAAGTCAAAATGCAGGAATTAGAAGCAAATGTTGTACATGAAAGTAAAAATTCTTCCGATCCAATTTGGGAATATTGCTTAACCATTAGAAGCAAATGTTGTACATGAAAGTAAAAATTCTTCCGATCCAATTTGGGAATATTGCTTAACCATTAGAAGCAAATGTTGTACATGAAAGTAAAAATTCTTCCGATCCAATTTGGGAATATTGCTTAACCATTGAGAGCAAATGTTGTACATGAAAGTAAAAATTCTTCCGATCCAATTTGGGAATATTGCTTAACCATTGAGATTCTTGACCAGCCAACAAGCGTGACTTCAGCTGTACATCAAGATGATGTCTCTACAGACGCTCATGCCTTTATAGACTATAATGAAGAATGGATTCTCGATTTTTGTTGTTCTCATCATGCAACTGGAAACAAAACTCTTCTATCAGATGTTTGTCCACATTGTCAAAAGAAGAGTTGGGCCCAACAAAGTGGCTGAATTGGAATCACGATTTTCTCAACTCTAAGAGAAACTGAAGAAAACAAGTGATCAATTAAGTGCATCTGAATCACACAAAAAGCAAGCCCAACCGAAAGTAGAAGAAGCAAAGAAACAACTATCAGATATGTCTGAAAAGCTTGAAGAATCTCAACAGCAGGTGTTTGAGCTCTCCGCTTCTGAGGAAGATCGTGTTCAAGAACTGCACAAACTTTCTCAAGATCGCAATCGAGCATGGAAGTCCAAACTCGAAGCTGTTCAAAAGCAACACGCAATGGATGCTGCTGCATTGGCCTCTGCCATAAATGAAGTTCAGAGGCTCAAGGTCCAGCTGAACATGGTGTCTAAATCTAACCAAACCCGAAGTAACCTCGCTAAGTCTGTGGAAAAGAATCAATCAGATGGAATCAAAGCTATTGAAGCCTACAACTCTTTGTCACCAAAATTGGAGGAATCAAAAGATCGGAATTCAGGGAGGGATGGCTTTGATTTTTATGGAGGGAAGGGAAGATGCCAGAAAGGTTTAAATTCCAGTCGTGTTGGTGGTGGATTTAGGAATTATTGCTCGAATGGTTCGTATGAGAGGAGTAACAGGTATTCGAATGGGGATGATTCATCTAACTCGAAGTGGGGTTTGTCAAGGGTCTTTGATGAAAATAGGAGGAAGAAAGATGAAGGTAATTCTGGCAGCGGCGGTGGTGGCAGTCAATCGAAGCTTAATCTGCAGCCACGTACGCTGCCGATGAATGATGTGAAGTCATCGAAGATATCAAGGACGACGGTGAGGTCCAAGAGTTCGAACCCATTTGGAATGGTGAGGCCGAGGGAAGAGGTTCTAGCTGAGAAAGGACATGATTGGAAAAAACTTGACAAGGAGTTAAAGTCGAAAATTATGGAAGTGTCAAGGGAGAAGACTGAAAAATCCAACGCCATTGGGAAAAAGAGCTTTGGCAATGGAATTGGTCAGGCTGCTGAGGACAAAATAGAGAGAAGCTGGAGGAAGCCGAGTTTCAATAACTCTAGACAAGTGGGGCGGGGTGCTCAACCTGATAAAAATCCTAGTGGTTTTGTGGATGCTAATTGGGCTGGTGACATGAACGACAGATGCTCCACAAGAGGTTTTTGTTTTACAGGAGACTCTATTGCAATTTCATGATGCAGTAAAAAGCAAAGCATCGTTGCTTTGTCAAGTTGTGAAGCCGAATATGTAGCTACTACAATGACTACTTAAGGATTTTTGTGGCTGATCACGAGGCTTATTCAAGAAATGGTGACTACTCATTATGATTTTGTTTGAGAGAATGCTAACGCAGGATGTTGAATTACAAAAAATATAGATTAATAAATAAGTTGCGGACATATTTACTAAGGCACTTGCCAAAGTAAAGTTTGAAGTTTTTCGTAAAGGCTCTCATAGCTATTGAGAAAATAAGTTTGCACTGCAAACTTTAGTGCAAACTTATTGTTAGTTTGGATTAGTCAATGAATATTTTTTTTCTTTAGATTTGATTAGTAGTATATTTTATTGTATTGTCAAGATTTAAATAGTTTATATTTTACTTGTTTGTAGGTATTAGTTGGTATCTTGTATCTATTTAAACGTTGTGAATTTCAATGAAGATTGACCTTCGGTCCCAATTCTATTTCTTCTTCTTAAATCTGTATTCATTCGCTGAGTATTCACACTCTTGAGTCGTAGATATTGCGTTAGCTATTATCCTTTCAAGTCTTCTATGAAAATGTTTCTTGGAGGTGCAGAAATCGATTGGGATAGGCCTCACGCGACGAATTCACATGTAAAATCGAATTGAATTTTTTAAGCTCCTTTGGATTACTTCAACGGCTGCCCAAATTTGGGAAATTGATTTGGGGCATTTTGCCTTTCTTTCCTTCACCAAAATTGTGGTTAATCTTATTTAGAAAGAATAGAAACAAGTTTGGAGGGAAATGATGGACTATAGCTCTCGAATTTGGAAGGAACATGAGAACTCAAAACCTAAAAAATGAAAAAGCTTATAACTCGTGATTGAAGGCTCGATGTTGCTTGCTTCTTGCTCCAAATGAACGCACATGGCTCATGACTTGAGAGAAATGATCTACCGCCTTTGAAACGTTTAGAACCACCATGAATTTATAGTTGATCCTTTTGGATTTTTCGCTAGAAAATCCTGTGCCGATCAGAGCTTTGTCAAACTTAGTTATGAATTTTAGCCGTTGGATTTGATGATCGGTGAATGTTCTAGATCATATCAAATTTATAGGGTGATCCAACAGCTAGATTTCAAGAGACTTGGATTATGTGCATAAGGGTACTATGGAGGATCTAATTTGGTCAGGAATGACAATTTGGTGATTCTTTTAAACTTTATAAATAAGGTAATTTATCACTTTCCGAAAATGTTAATATTATTTTTTTCGAATTAATCCAATTTGTTTTTATAAAATTGGTTACCTCTTGTTAGTCCTTTTCTTCTTGTTGAGTGTCTTGAAATTCATATCCATACAGAAATAAAATTTGGAGAAATTTTGGATCGACTCTTCTTTACACGTTAAATCCTTTCTCGATGGAAGTGTATCATGTGCTATCATGTGAGTGGGGTGACGTATACTTTCGTAACATAGACACATAAAATATATTGTGTACGGGGGAGTGCGAGTCTACAATCCACTAGTCCTATTCTTTCTAGTATCTCAAAAGGATCGAAGAACTTGTGGCTTAGCTTCCCTTTCTTTTCAAAATCTGAACATCCCTGTCATGGGTGCTATCTTTAGAAACACATGGTCTCCTACATCGAAATTTAGGTTTTTACGCCTTCCATCTACATAAATATTTTACGAACTAAAATTTTATTTTTATTAGAAACAAAAAGATTTAAAAAAAAATTCAAACTTAAATCAAACGAACCCAAAACTATATGGCCGGTTGGGTGGATTTCAGTTTTTGTGATGTCCCACATTGGTTGGGGAGGAGAACGAAACACCCTTAAGCATGTGTAAACCTTCCCATAGTAGACGCGTTTTAAAACCTTGAGAGAAAACTCGTAAGGAAAATTCCAAAGAGGACAATATCTACTAGTGGTGAGCTTGCGTCGTTACTAGTAAAAGAGTCTGACACCGGGCGATGAACCAGCGAGGAGGTTGTTCCCCGAAGGGGGATAAACACAAGACGGTGTGCCAGCGAGGACGCTGGGCCCGAAGGGGGGTGGATTGTGATGTTCCACATTGGTTGGGGAGGAGAACAAAACACCTTTTACAACGGTGTGAAAACCTTTCACTAGCAGACACGTTTTAAAGCCTTGAGGGAAAGCCCATAAGAGTAATATTTGCTACTGGGTCGTTACCGTTTTTAACCTGCGTTGTTTGAGTTAAAAAGAATTAACATCCCAAACAATTGAACTACGAACAAAACCCTCTCACCCTTTCCATTTATGAAGATCGTGTTACACCAAACCCACTTGAAAGAATCATTAAATTTGGTAGTTTTTTGTTCATTGATTATGGATAAAAATAAATCTATCTATTGTTTTCTAAGCTATTTCATAAAATTAGATGCATGAATGAGATTCCTTTATCTTTGCATTACATTCATTTTAAATGTAGTTGGTTCATTCATTGATTTAAGGAAAATATTAAATGATGCCATTGATTTTAAATTTGTCCGATTTTTTAAATAATAATAGTTATTTTTTTTTATTGAGCTATACTCTTATTAACTTTAAATAATATATAAATTTTTTTAGTAATTTTTAGTACATTTTC